TTTCATTAAAACTTGAAGATAATTTATATCATTCATGTTTAAAGAACGTGGTTTTCCTGAAAGTGATGGAAGTTTTTTGATAAAACCATATCTTTGAAAATGCACAAGAACCCAACTATAGAAGATCTGCTAACACCTAAGTGTTTTGCAATTTTTCAAGTTGATAAGCCTTCTAAATTTTTTTCAATAATTTGCTAGCGAATGTGGTTTGAAAATACTATATTTTTTGAATTCAACAAGAGATGTGTATAATTTTATTAAATTATGTATATATTAAAGTATTATATCAATTTTTATTATGCCGAAAAATTACCAGCTGAAAAATTTTTCGGCAAGTTTTTTTATAGGTGTTCTAGAAATAATGAAAATAGCTGTAATATTTGGATAATCTGACAAATATCCGGTAGCAATAGAAAAGTGTATATCCAAATAAATTCAGATCTGGATATCCAATAGATAAATGAATAAACGGATAATGGATAGAAACTTTTATTTAATTTAAAATTATTTTAATGTTTACAATTAAACAATAATTAAGTAATTATATATTGAGTTGCAATTCATTATCTGTTTATCTATTAGATATCCAGATCTGAATTTATTCAGATATTTGGTTTACTATCATTATCTGAATAATTATCCAAATATTTGTTAGATTATTTGGATATTAATAGTAATTGAATATCAAGATAAATTTAGATATGAATAAATAGATAAAAGATTATTCAGATTGCAACTCTATGCATATATAATTTACAATCTATAATAAAAAAAGAATTATATTATTTTGCACATATGCGCTATAACACATCTCATAAGATCAGGTGTAACGTGAAATCAAAACAATAATTAATTCGTTAGTTTAGGGTTAGGTTAGGGTTAGGTTAGAGTTAGGGTAAAGTGCTTTAGCAAAAAGATTCTAACCTAAAATTTTGTAAAAAATTTTTTTGTTAGTACACGAAGAGAGGTTTCATAAGCAAAATTTTTAGCTACAAGCGATTTTTTTAAAAGATTGCTATTTTTTGATTTCACGTTACACCTGATTTTAAATTCTAATTGGTCAATCAGTGGGTTGTTACTACGCATATGCGCTAAATTATATAACTCATAAAAAAATAATATAAATATGTATATAATTAATATGCAATTCGAAATTTATAAAAAATTCTTTAAATATGTACTATATATAATTAATATGCAATTCGAAATTTATAAAAAATTCTTTTAACTTTTATAACAAGTTTAAATTTTAGCTTATTTTAAATTTCTAATTTATATACGATTTATTATTATTTAATATTACATATAAAGATTTTATGCTTTATTTTATTATTATTTTTATTTATAAAATTTATTTATTTATTTTATATTTATATATTTATTTTATTTATTATTTAAAAAATGTCAACTGGTTCAAATTTTTCAAATAATTCTCCTGAAGATTGTAGTAAAGAAGAAAATTTGCAGATACAACTTGTTGATGATATTTATATTAGTGATTTAGAAGATGATAATATTGATACTGAACGAGAAAAATTATACAAAGTATACAAGATCTAAGTTTTGAAGAAATAATTACAACAAATGAAGAAAATTTAACTAAAGATTTAAAAAAATTATCTCAGCAAGTTAAATTTAGTACTAAAGAAGCAGATGTTTTGAAATTTGTAGATAAGGAAACTCATAAATGTTCTCAATATCCTAAAATATTTGAATTAACAACATCAACTAGTTCTATTTATATTCATTTACAACACCTGCATAAATTATTAAATAAAGAAAAATCAAATATTGGAATTAAAAAACATTTAGTAGCAGTTCAAGCAGAAAAAACTTAAGCAATTTTTAAATGGATTATTTTATCTCTTAAACCATTTAAAGTAGTAGAAAAAAGGCTTTTCACAATATGATTCAAAAATCAGATCTATTTTACCAAATTCCTACTCGTAAAACTGTTCATAATTTAATTATTAACCAGTTTAATCAACATAGAAATTTGATAATAGATTATCTTAGTGAAATTTCAAATAATGTTGCTCTTACAACTGATTTTTGGACATCATTGAAATTGGAAAATTTTATGGCTATTACTATTCATTTTATTGATAAAAATTGGAAGTTACAACATTTTGTATTGGATATATTTCAGTTTAAAAGTTCTTATACTGGAGAAATTATTGCTGACAAAATATATAATTGACTTGAGGAATATAAAATTACAACTAAAGTTATTGCATTAACTACTGATAATGCTGCTAATATGATTTCTGCTGCTAATTATTTACAAGATAAGTTAACTTTTAATAATTTTAGTCATTATAGATGCATAGCTGATATACTTAATTTAGTAGTTTCTGCTGGTTTAAATTTTTTAGAAGATTCAATTAAAAGATTAAGAAAATTAATTAAAACTATTCGTAAATTATCTAAAATTCTTGAAGATTTTCAACAACTTGCAACTTTAGATAATAAATCTTTTTTAGTTCCAATTTTGGATTGTAAAACAAGATGGAATTCAATATATCAGATGATTAAAAGAGCATGTCTACTTTATAAATCTATAAATATGTTATTAGTTAAACATTCAAGTTTGAAAACTTATATTCCAAATAAAGAAGATTGGCAGATTTATAAAGATTTAGTTATATTATTAGAACAATTTAATGAAGCTACTATTGAACTTTCATCACAAACCTATTCAACAATTGCACATGCACAAATAATTTTATTAGCTCTTAGAAATAATTTAAAATCTGATAGGGGTGAAGATTTTCTGTTAGAAGAAGTTGTTAATACAATATTATCTAAATATATTGAATATTTTAATTTAATTACTGAATTTTTACATATTTCTGCTTTTTTAGATCCTAGATATAAAAAGCTTTGTTTTTCTGATATGAATATTGATAAAATTTTAACACCAATTAGGCAAAAAATTAATCAACATCTTTATTAGTATCTAAAAAAGTTTCAAGCTTTTATCAAAAATTAAAACATACATCACAACAAGCACAAATAATGAATGATAAAGCTCACAAATATTGGTTATTTGCAGAAGCAGATAAAACTATAAAGCTTTTAGATTGGTGAAATACTCATACAGTAAAATATCCAATACTCTCAAAACTTGCTCTTAGTTATTTATATATTCAAGCTAGTTCAGTTCCATGTGAACAATTTTTTTCAATTGCAGGTCAAGTAATTAGCAAATCAAGAAATAGAATAAGTAGTAACTCTGCAAGAGCATGTTTATGTTTACATAGTTGGTTATCAACAAATAATTAATAATTTTATAATACTTAAAATTATTATATTTTATATATTTTTTATTTATTATTTATTTATATTTAAATTATTATATTTTTGTTTATATTTAAATTATTATATTTTTATTTATTATCTATATTTTAAATAAGGTTTTTTCCCATTGGGTTTTTTTTTTTTTTTTTTTTAAGCAGTTTTGTCTTTATTTATTTAAACTACTATTTAACTATTATACATGTATAATTGACTATATAGTGTATTGCTCTAATCCAAAAAAGACTCACCAAGTATTTACCCAGTGCAACCCGCCAAAACAACAATTTATCTCCCTTAGGATCCTTAACTTTCTAAAGATTTCGTACCAATCGAGGTACCCCTCTTGGTCATCAATTGGCTGTTGTCTGCCATGTTAAGCATGCTTAAAAAGACCGTTTCGGCTTCACCAGCGAAGATCATGCTGGTTTGGTTCCCCACGAGACCCATTCTCTGGTTAGACTATCCCTTTTTTTGACCATGTCTAGTTTTTCTTCTTTTCAGCTAACCTTGGTTCTTCTAATATCTTTCTCTTTTGTATTGCTCGCTGGGTCTCTATTTTCTTTGTCTTGTTCCTTTGTCTCTTCGCTTTTTCTTTTTCTTGCATTTTCTGTTTTC